TTATTTGATGTTTTTCTTACCTGTGACTACAATGCCCACAATTCTGACTGGTGGAGTGGTGACACCACATCGCGTGCTGGTACGGAGCTATCACACGTGTTCTCTAGCTTTGGCCTCCAGCAGCTTGTCAATTTCCCCACCCGTGTCGGTCCGAATGGAAGACTGTCCTGTCTGGACTTGCTTGCTACGAACCGCCCCCTCTCTGTACGCTCTGTTGACGATGCTGCCCCGCTTGCTGCATCGGATCATTTGCAAGTCATTACAACGCTAGCCTACAACATTGCCACTGCTAACACCTCTTACAACTGCTCTCAGACTCCTACCCCTTCGCGACTTGCCTTCCGCAAGGTTACACCCTCCACTTGGTCAATCATCAACTCTGCACTTTTTGCCTGTGACTGGCATCTTTTATTCACCTCCACTACTGTTGATGAAGCTGTGGAGAAGTTCACCACAGTTCTTGATGACGTGCTCTCCTTCTATGTGCCACAATACGGAGCAAGACCCGCTACACCCAAACATGGCAGCCACCACCCTCGTCAGTCCAGCCGTAACCCGAAGATCCCTTGGCTCGACAAAGATCTCCAAGGTGCAATTAAACTCAAATACGACTACTACAGCTTAAGCAAGAAGTACTCCACCTATGCTAATATTTCTTTATACCAAAAACAGCGCAATCTGGTGAAGTCATTGTCACGTTCTAAGTATCGAGCATATCTACGTTCGCTCACTACCACCCTATCTCACCCCTCTTCCAGGCCTAACCTGTATGCCTTTGTTCGCACTCAAAGGACAACTAGTACACGTCAAGATATACCTCCATTATTAGCTTCCAATGGTTCGATGGTGACTGACCCCAAGTCTATAGCTAATACTCTCAATACGCAATTCACATCAGCTGGTATTCCAGACGACCATTCCTCTCCAATACCACCTCTGCAACGTTCTGCGACTGTGTCTTCTGATCTGCGCTCTATCCATACCACCACATCATCTGTTCGCAGCTACCTAAAAAGACTAAAAAGCAACAAAAGCCCTGGTCCTGATGCCCTACCAAATGAAGTTCTCAAAGTTCTGGCTCCATCTCTGGCGTACCCACTGTGCCTTATATTCAACCTTTCCTACTCCTCCGGCGTATTTCCTGATCGTTGGAAGATCGCTAAGGTCACGCCCATCTACAAGTGTAAAGGCTCCCGATCACAAGCCTCAAACTATCGTCCAATATATCTTCTCTGCTCCCTTTCAAAAGTATGTGAAAAGGTATTTTACGACCAGTTGTATTGCCACATTTCACCATGCCTTAGCCCTTCCCAATCTGGCTTTCGGCGCAACGACTCAACCTCTGACCAACTAGCTCGTCTAGTACAAGACATTGCCACCCTTCGTGATGCTCGACACCATATTGCTCTCTGTTTCTTTGACTTGGCAAAGGCCTTTGATACTGTCTGGCATCGTGGCCTCCTTGCCAAGCTCCATAATTATTGTCTTTGGTGTGTCTAGCCCTGCTCTGTCCTGGCTGGAGTCCTATCTGAGTAGCCGATCACAGTTTGTTTCTGCCCTCTCCATCAACTCTGATCCTCTACCAGTGTCTTCTGGAGTTCCCCAAGGCTCCATACTTGGACCTCTTTTGTTCGTAGCATACGTAAATGATTTACCCTCTATAGACCCAGGTGTCTCGTTATTTGATGATGATACAACCCTACTGTCAGCATCCTCGTCCTCAGCGGCTCTTGTACCTCGAGTGTCGGCTCAGATATGCAGTGTCCTACGCTGGATGCAAACATGGCGACTTAGACCCAACCTGACTAAAACCGAAATAATGTTCCTTCCCCCCAATCTCATCCATGTCACTTTTACACCATCCTGATTTCTCAGAACCCATAAAGGTTGTCTCCAACCATAAACACCTGGGAATAATGCTTGATGATCGTCTCTCTTGGTCTTTCCATATTGATGCTCTTTGCAGCCGTTCAAGCTCTGCCCTAGGTGTTATACGTCCC